GGAAGGGGGGGGGCGCGGGGGAACAGGAAGAAAGCCAAGGGCAGCGCTGCTACGGTATATACGGATTCATGGGGATACGGCTTCCGAAGAATTGTTGATAAAAGGTCCGTCTGGATTGTCCGAGCGCCATGCGATAAGGGTGGCTGCGCTAAATGTAACGCATGACATTACAGCATACGGGAGCGATAAAGTTTCAATAACAGCCTAGATAGCCTTGTGATATTGCCTTTACACTTCTTCAATGTCATTGGAAAATTTTTGTCCACCGAAAGATAAACAAATTTGTCACTTTATGGGAAAAACTATTGTGTTACATTTCAAGTGTGCGTGTCTCTTGTGTGGTGCGATGGTGACCATATCTTGTGTCAAGTTTGTGGTGTGACCTCCAGTGGGGTCTGCTGCGCCAACCGCTGAAAGCGATTAAAAGCACCAGGCAGGGACAGCCTGGACATAGACTATGCATGCATTACGCCTAGCAAGGGGGGCTCAAACCAAGTCTGCACCCTACAAAATGATATTGGAAAGTAATAAAGATAACTTGTGGTTGAATTTAAACTAACATTTTTTGTTGTTGTACGACATTAATTTGTTGTGCAAAAATTTACACTGTTACATGATAACAATTTACTATTTACAAGAGAAATTATTCGTTCTTTCTCAATAACACTTGTGTCACCTCAGAGAAGTATCTGCGTTCCTATATACACGACTATGTTTAACAGAGTGGTTCATCTCAAATTGATCGCTTTGAAGCGTCAGGGGCGGCTGTCATGACAGCGAAAAGGTGGGAATAGGGGTGGGGAAGTTGAGGGGACCGGACGTCGTGGACGTCGTGACGTGTAGTGTATCGGGGCCTTGACGCGGGGGCTGCCACATCTCGGCCAGGAAGGGCAGCGCGTTACGTCCGGTCCACAGCGCCGCACGAGCACCTGGAGGGGAGGGGGGGGGGGGCTCTGGACCACGAGCCCTCACAGATAGATAACCACAGGTCAGAGGTCACACGACTTCCGCCGGCGGCTGTAACCCCGGGGGATTTCAACGACATCGTCGCAAAAGGGAAACTTAAACATGCTGTATGCACTGTTAAATTCCTGCGAAGTATTTTGCTCCTTTGTGACTACGAAGCATTTACTTCGCAATTACAAAGGGATGCTTTGCAATTACGAAGTGACACTTTCCAATTGCAAAGCGATGCTTTGCAGCGTTTTCATTGCTTCGCAATTGCAAAGCATCACTTTGTAATTGCGAAGTAAATGCTTCGTAGTCACAAAGGAGCAAAATATTTCGCAGCTCTGCAAAGCGAATACTTTGTAGGAATTTAACAGTGTGCGAGGGTGTAAACTTTGTTATACATTCTAAACCTCAGCGCTCGGAGTACAGTTGGAGTCCGGAGTACGTCTAGCATTGTAGGAGAGCGCACGGAGAAAAATACTTTGGTTTTGCTGTAAACTAAATTAGTGTTCAGTCTGCCCCCTCAGTCACAACCACAAGACATTTTGCACATGCTGGCTGAGCGTTTAGACGCTCCATCTAAATACACTGGATGATACGACAGAGATGGTTAACTCAGGGGACTGACTAAACAACATGTTTCAGTTTACTACAGCCAATTTTTTCGGTCGTGGTAACCAAACATTTTTCTCAGTGCACAGGTTGTCAACTTGTCAAACCCCTCGGTCATTTCTTGTGTGATTTCGTACGCAAACAATTACAACGTGTACGCTACCCAACCCCCAGAAAAACGTACCTTTTATTTGACGTCAAAAAATGGTTTCGCTGTTTCAAAGGAAATTTTGGCATTGATGTAAAGTTGAATTCAGTTATTTCACCCTGACTGTATGGGAAGTGCTGTGCTCGATAAACTCGAACACTTACAAGCGCAGAAATTCAGAGATAATCACTTGCAATTATTCAACTTGCAGTTGAATATTTTCTTTTCATGAATGTCGAAAAATCCGTGATGAAATTATAGTTCTAAAAATACCTAGCCATGATATTCTCATTGTCATCACAACTATTTTATTTACAGTGTAGTTCACCCCCCGCTCGACCCCAGGCCATGCATACGGACGGAGAGTGCTTACCGCAGGTGGTGCAGGCCGCACGGCCGCTCTTCACGGACCACGGACCACTCAGCCCGATCCGCACTGCAGACCGTTCATCCAATATGAAAGAGATGAAAGTCTTCTGGCAGCAGCTGCACCACCACCACTACCACTGCAGCCGACGCTACCGCTGCCGAACTTCCCTTTAGTTTTGTTTGCATTTATTTTCTCCCACACTGCGGAAGAATTAAGTCCTTTTTGTGGCTAGGATCCACACATACACATCACACACACACACACACACACACACGTGCGCACGCAACCACACGCGCAAGTTTCGAGGGTTGTTTTTTTTTTTTCTCGCCCTGGTTGAAAATTAGAATTCCAAAAAATATCCCGCTTTGCCGGCGCTCCTGGTCGTCGCTCGTCGTCATACGGCTCGTGGTAGTCGAGCCGAAAGCCGAGGCGAGCGGGGCCGGAGCCGAGCCTATCCGAGGGGTGGTCCGTCCGCTCCGCGCGCCGCCGGAGGACTGAGGGGTGCTCGAGCCCGCGAACTGAGGTGTGGCGGGGTGTGGCGGGGCGTGGCGGGGCGGGGCGGGGTGTGGCGGGGCGTGGTGGCCCCGCTGCACCGCCGTCGCCGCCGCCACCGCCGGGCCGCCCTCTCAGTCCTCGCCGCAAAAGTGCCGAGGGGGGCACATCAACAAGTCTCTTTTTGTGGATGCGCAACAAAGCTGCCACCAATCATCACGCCGTAAGTGAATATGGTTGTGTGTGTGTGTGTGAGTGGTTGTGAGCACGCGCATGTGTGTTTGGAGTACCACAATTTATAGGCGGTCGCTTTTGGACCGACTTTAGCTTTGCATATATCCACAGCACGACACCGACCTTCGCAGCGCAACTATGAGCGCCAATGATGCAGGGGTTCATTGTTCCTCAACTTTTAATTAAAATGCGGTTGAAAAAATACGCGATGCCATACGACGAACTTCTGTGCAGTGGGTACTTTTTAAAAGCTATAAAGCATAGCACAGCCCAGCTCGCAAAACTGTTTTAAAACCTTTTCCAGAACAGTACACACTGTAAAATTCTTGCAAACAATTTTCAAGCATTGTAAAGAAGTTTGCATTGCAAACTGTTTTCTTCGTAAGTTGCGAAGAATCGGTTCGCAATGCGAAGGATTTAGTTCGCAATGCAAAGCATTGCACAACGCTTGAAAATTCTTTGCAATGCAGAGAATGGTTCTTCGCAAGCTTTTTACAGTGTGCAGGTTTTGATTATGCCAATATTGTCTGTCTCACCTTCCAGCGCTCCTTTCACTTTCATCAAGGTACAAAAATAAAAAAAATAAAAAATCGCAATGCTCGTCGGTTGGGAAGCGGGCGCAGATGGCGAGCACCACCAGCACCCGGTGGCCTAGGGGTAGAGATCAGGTACCCAATACCAGCGGGTGCCAGGTGCAGCGACCTCTCAGAGCCCACCATCCTCCTCTCCCACCCGCTACAAAGTAGCAATAAATCCGAAAGGACTCCGAGGGGCGGGCAGTGCATTGGAACGTATAAAAGGGACAGGCACAGCCACGGGACACTTCTAAATCTCAACGTCCCCTCCCTCCCTACTTCCCTGCGTATCCCGTGTACCTCCCGCTCTCCCAACCCCCTCCACTCGGCCCCCTAGGGAGACGCAGGATGAGTCCAGCCAGCGGACATGTCACTTCGCGGCGCTTTTCGGAAGCAGGCCCCTAACACCGTCCCGCTCCGCCAAACTACTACTCCCGATTGCCCCGACTGGCTGGCGAAAACCCCAAACCCCAACATCCCACAGCCAACAATTTCAATTCGGATGATTCTCGTTTACAATGGGGGGTGTAAAAAACGTTTCGTTGGGAGTTTCCAAACATTATTGATATGATAAAGAGCATCCCGGAATGAGAAAACTGAAATACAAGAATGTGCAATATAGTACAATAAATAATTGTATAAAAACCCAACTCATTACCGGGTTTTGTTAGTTGGCTTTTCCGCCGAAAGTTCCATCTTTTCGTACACCGAAGCACACACAAGGGACGGGGCAGGGGTTCATCGCCCGGTAGCCAGCCGGCCGACCCTGCCCCGGGCCTCCGGCCCCGAGTCCCGGGCCCACCCGCCCACCCGCGCCCAGACCGGCCCACCTAAACGGCCCGCATTGTATCGCCGCACATAACGAAAAGATTGGCACCCGCTCGGAATATATTAGGGGACGGGCGAACGCGCCGTGAGGCGTATGCGTATGGATCGTGGATCGCGGAGTTGGGCGCGAAGCAGGCGGGGAACTGAGAATAAACGTAGTGGGAAAACTTTCTCTGCGACGCGAGGGCGCTAGTAGCGAGGCTAGTAGTATGGCATGCAGATTACACTCGAAATGAAAAAGAAACATTTCGGAGCTAGCGAAGAAATCTTCTGTTGAATTTTTGCCGAGATAAAATAAAACTTGCGCCAGAACTTTGGAAAAAACAAAAAGTCTTGAAATTGCGAGACCAGTGCAGGGTCAGCGCTCCCATCGGCTCCCACCCCACTCCAGCCTTCAAATAATTCTCACATTTTTATGCCAGTATTCACTGTTATTCAACGAATGTGACGTCACATTCGTTTCAATGTGAATTGTCGCGTTCGTTTGAATGTTGTGTCATATTCGTTTACACGTGAATCAGTCGAGCCTGGCGCCATTTGAACATCAATCACGACGTGAAGTCACGTTTAAATGAATGTGACACAATATTCAAACGAATGTGACACGTTTCACAGTGAAACGAATGTGACGTCACATTCCTTGAATAAGAGTGTTCCCTCTTGCAATGGAGGAAAACTGGTGCGACGGGACGGGCAACAAGGAAAGGGCGCGTCGTCGAAGCGGATCGCAAGGACAAGGAGGGTGGAGAGAACGCACTGAACCAGGGGCCCCAGAGAGCACGGATGGGACCTCTCGCCACTCACACTCACTGCACTAGCAGCTCAACTCGGTGTCTCTCTCCCGCCAGCGCTACAGTTGCCCACGGGCCGCGGGTCTAGAGACCCCTGCACTAAAACCTTATGCACTTGTCTCGTGTCTTAGAAGCCACATTTAATTTAAAACGTCGTACACAGCCACGTAGAAAATGTACACGACTATGCACAAATTTGTGTGTAGTGGATAAACTTTGTGCATACACACTAACTGGATTTGTATATTTCATTTGTACGAATTTAAGCGATCACTTATTTTTCTTGCACACATTTCTTCGTTGATGTGAACAATTTTGTGCATTGCTTATATTAAATTAAATAGACACAACTGAAGTTAGTGCGTAAGGGTTTAGTGAGCAGGGTATTGCTGAGCTCGGGCAGGCACCCTGGAGTTATCGGGCCGAACACGGCCGTATGGCAGTTGCACGAAACTGCTACATTATGGGCGACCGTCACATGCACCTCAATCTTCGGAGGACAAGACCGGAGAGTGGGGCGGGGGAGGGGGAGGGTTACCGGCCGGGAAGGGGCGGCGAACTTGGCAGAGCGGGTTCAACCATGAACAATCGGTCCGAAAACCAATTTCGATGACGCATAACTTTTGTTCTCCGCCAGTGTCGTGCAGCGCAGCGCGGGCGTGCTTTTGTCGTGTGCAGCAGGGGGCCCGGGCGCGACAGCGCCACAATGATGGCCACATTGCTTTCACGCGTAGAATCGTTTCCCACAACCAGGGAGGGAGTACATCACACCCAGAGGCAGGGCATAGATTCCTAAACAGTTTGTGTGTCGCACATGTGCAACCCCATCCACTAAACACATCGCATCTCTCTCACACACGCATGCGCATCCACACACACACACACAGACCCACAAGCGCGGGCGGTGGAGAAAATCACCCCATTTGCTCTTTTTTTCAGGGAACAAGTTTGATTTAGGGGCTGCCAGTGAAAGGAGAAGGGTTGGTTGGTTGGCGAGTCGGCGTTGGCGCGGGGGTGTGTTCCGAAGGTCAAGGGGAGGAGGGGAAGAAGAGACGACGAGAGAGACGTGGTGGGTTAGGAGGAGACGGGGGGAAAGGGGGGAGAGAGAGGAAGAAGGGATGGAAGCGGAGGGAGGGG